TAGCTTTGTTTTTTTTTTCTGAGTATTATATATAGTGTGCTAGTTTTCGATTTTCTTATGAAGAATGATCTTGTTTAAATTACCTATTTGAACTTGCCTATTTTATGTATTCTTCATGGTTGTTTCATATACTTGAAAAAATGTGTAGGTGATTTCTCTGCTTAGTCGAGTTCATAAATCTATATATGTGCTTCTAGTTATTGTTATTCTTATTAGATTTTGTAATCCATGTTATATAGTTGTTATTTTCTGCCTTAATTTGTTATCTTCTGTAGTAAGATTTTTACTTCTATTTTTATCAAAGCTCCAATCTGTTTTATAAATGCTAAGTTGGGCAATTGTTGATTTGTTGTGTTAAGGAGAAAACTAGTTGTTGGTTTGCTTCTTTACTGTCTTTAAAATGTTCCGATTGCTATTAATATGAAAAATGTCTTTAGTTCCTACCTTAGTTTCTTTGATCCATAGTTGTGCACCCTTTACAATATTCCATAGCCATGTTCTTCTTTTTAGATTTTAGCATTTGCTTCCCTTAAGTTGTTGGTTGTTTTTCCTTTTGTTAGATTTTTGACTTAAATTCTTTAAGTTAGGCATGTGGTTTTAATATTGGATAGTATTCTAGTAGCAATATATAATGCAGATTTGTCTATTCTTTGTAGTTGTTCTTGATACTTCCCATGGGTAGTTTTAATTTAGAGAATATCAATTACATTAGTAACATGGATCCTAGATTTTTTTTATGATATATATGTTAGTTAGTTTACATCCTTAGTTGATCTTGATTTGATTAAGTATGTAGTAGTTGGATGTTTTATGGTGTTTGACAATTTTGGTTTTCATTAAGGGCAATAGAACTTTGGTAGAAATGGGTTTATTAACTGTGATGAAGGATAAAAATTATCAAAATGTTTGGGTTTAGTCCTTCTAAGTGATGCTATTGATATCGCATTTGTTTAATTATTTTTGTGTAGTTACGCTTAATTCCTTTTATTGATTAATATATGCAGTAGTTAAGCTTGACCATATATTAGTATAATTAAGTTCTCCTTTCCAGTTTACATTTATTGCATTTTGAGATGAGGTTTCTCTTTTGAACTTTCTAATCTTTTATTCCTTTATTTCTTGGTGTATGAACACTCTCCCATTGAGTCCACTTGGACTCTATCTCTTGCATTTTCCTCTCTTCGAGTCAACCTCATCCAAGCCGATCAAAAGGAAGCTAATATTATTGTGTTAAAATCCCAAGAAAGTAGCAGCAACAACAGACTTAAAAGGCCGAAGACGAAGAGCAAAATTGGGTTGAAACCCCCAAAAGACAACAGCAGCAGTAGCCTTGAAAAGGCTGAAATTTGATAATTTTTGGACTCTCAAAAGTCCACTAAGTGCAGCAGATTTGCAGCAGCCTCGAAGGGATGGAAATAGCATTTTTCGGACCTTAAAAAAGGTCAAAAACAGCAGCAGTAGCAACAAATAAGAAGCAGCAAGTGGACTTAAAATTGTCCAAGTTCTATTCGCGCTTTTGTTTTCCTTATATCGTGATTTTGTGATAGTTTATTTTTAGCTTCTAATATTATTTTTGTTAACTTAGATGAATCTTTTGGAGGTTTCTAATGACTCTTCTATTTCGGCATTTGTTTATTTAAATATTCAATTTTTTCGAAACTTCTTTTAAGTTGGGCAATCTATTCTCCAAGACTAACTTGAGAATTATCCATATTCTTTCATAGTTAGTATTTAGCTTTCAAATCCACGTCTAAGTAATTGTGTCGATTATTCAACTCAAAAACTTGACTCGAATAAATTATTAAGTTAAAATTTTATTTTTGACACTTTAACATTTGAAATTATTTCATTATTTGGGATAATACAAATGTACAAATATCAAAGGATTTCTCATTTAAAATAATAATAATAATAATAATAATAATAAGATTTTCAAGTAATTTAAGTTTTTCTTTTAAAAACGGCCAAGCTTTTAAATCCGTCGGTCAACCGCGTGTTAGCGGAGTCTCTAAGATGCATAAACCCTTCCTTAGAGAATTATTTGAACTCTTACCCAACTCTGGTTTATTTTAAATGTTTTTCTTTCAAAAGACCACTTTTAAATGGTTTTCTTATTTTTTCCTAAAAAATTTAGTGACGACTTCCAAATTATAAATTTTTCCAAAAACTTAAACAAGAATTGCCAAAGTTGCGAAGATGGTTTCGAAACCTTAGTTTTCGAAATCGGGTCGAAACAGAGGTATCTAATCAAGTAAGGTAGGAAACTGGTACCCACCCCCAATTCACTCTAATCGACATGCTTTTACACAATTAAGCTCAATCTAAAAGAAAGGAAGTCGTAGCTTACCTTAAGGCTGACCGCGCGAGCTCCAAATCACTTTACCGGAGCTTGTCCTTCCCGAATGACCCTTGAACGATGCCACTCTATTAAATATAGGATCACAACGTTAATACGGTCGTTTAGACACCAAAATCACAACAAACAGAGACGGGTCAATTTTTGGAGTCACAACGGAAATCATGGGACCCGCACCGAACTTTCTGAAATTGACTCCTTCAAGAGACCCTAAACAGCGCCCCGAACTTGTGTTCCAAAATGGAACACAATTCAAGGCTCAAAACACAGCAAAAACCAAAAAGCAAGAAAACCACACTTTAATCAACCTAAAAGAAAACAACAGCAGTCTAAACTCGGAATTAACGAGAATCAAAAAGTTCCCAGCACTCCTTGAACACTCTACGAGGTAGCCACGATAATTCCCAACATGTAGGACTTCGAATCACCCAAAACCGAGCTAAAATGAGTGAGATATGACCAAAACAAGAATGCCAAATATAAAGGCTCGAAAAAGGGTACAATAGTCAAGTTAATCACGAAATTACCTCGAACTACGTGCACCCGACAACTTCCAAACACTTTACAGCGAAGCCACCGAAAATACGAAGCTCCCGCACTCGAATCACCTAAATCGGTTGAGAGATGAGGGTTTTAAGTTTGAAAAAAGTTGGCTGATATAGCTGCATTTATAGCAGATATTTCTGCAATTTTTTTCCAAAACATAAAAACTCTGACGGGGTGCTCCAAACTCGTTTGGAACCCCGTGCTTGCAAACGAGATATGCAACCATACCAAATTCGATATTTCAAACTCAATGGCGCAGTCAAAATTTTCATACGAGGTCATCTTGACAAAAAGTGGGTCCCACACCCAAGTGTTATTTTAAGTCAAAAACCACAAAAGGGCTCGAAAAAATATCGAAAACCTCGGGACACAAAAGAAGGGTCAATCTAGAGAAAACTCAACATTCTGAAGCTAACCGCACTGACGAAATTCTCATCCGAGCGCGTTTACTCAGAATGTTGACTAAAGTCAAACTTAGGCTTAAACTTAAAGTTAAAACGCTTAATCACACCGACTCACACTAAAAACCTCGAGAGTCATGCCGACCATGCTAACAGCCTAAAATGACATTTCCGAAGCTGATGGAATCGTTAGAATTGGATTCTGATGTCATCTTCTTGAACTTTTGATCGAAAATGATCGTTCAAGGTTCATAAGCTCCAAAAACACTAAAATTCGCATAAAAGCCATACGAACGACCCGGTGACTGAACTGTCAGTCCCAACAAATTATAAATGACTTGGGGTTGCTACAGGAACGCTCTAAACGACAAACAAAAGGCAAAACACAGAAATGACCAGAAGGGTCATTACATGTACATCAGATTAGTATATCATGTATAAAATGTAATGTATCTTACTTAACGATTAATGTATCTCGCGCATCAGATTAATGTATCAACGCTTATATTATTGTATCCGTTTGAGAGACTTCTGTAATTATAAATTTTTAAATGATAGGTTGTAATTTTGCCTTAAAAGTATGTGATTTATGTAATTTGCCCATTATTATATGTATTAGTAATCCTTTGTTTGGTGCATTTTTTCATGCTATGTATAACTAATGATTGCATTAGTTATACACAGGGGCGGACCCACGTAGTTAGTTTTGACTCCGGAATTTTTTTTGTATATATATATATATAGAAAATATGATAAATACATTATTAAAGAAAAATAAGCACCCATAGAACAATAGTAGTCGTGGGTGCGCTGGTTAACACTTGAAAAATAACGTACGCGAAGCATGAGGGCGAGGGTTCGAATCCCGTCAGCCCCATTCTTTTTTTTTTAAAACTTTTTCTAGCGAATTTTGCACCTTTTTTTTACTTTTCCTTTTTTTAATTAAGGGCTTATTTTACTCCGAATTTGTACTTGTTTTGACTTTTCCTATTCTTAATTAGCTTAGGGTGACTAACTTTTTCTTTCTTTTTTATTTTTAACTTTTTCTATGTTTTAAAACCTTTTCCACTGCCCACTTTTATGGGATTTTTTCTTTTAACAAAAAGAGGAAATCATTCTTCTTCTTCTTCTTGTTTCAAAGAAAAAGCAGCCAGCCCAACAACAAACTTCAAGCTTTTTTCTTTTCAAAATCAATATAAAAGCAAGGTAATAAGATTTGATGTTTGATTAAAGTTAGATAATGAAAAAAAAGGGTTAGGGAAATTAGGTTTTGAGATTTTCATTGCTTATGGCTAGTACTCTTTAAGTCTTAATTCTTAAAATATATTCCACATACTTTTTTTTGTTACTTGATAAATAGATTTAGACTTTAGAGTCTCACATATTAGTGTTTTGTGATTAAAAATATATTTTTTGAATACTTTGGAAATAAATTTTTTTCTTACCAACTTACTTGATTCAAAAATTAAATTTTAGGATGTATACAAATAACAAATTGTGCAATTGAAAATTTTGTGCTCATTGACTCATATATTGCTAATTATTGCTTGTGGTGTTGAAAGATCAAATAGATATATTAATTGGTGTTTGGGTTGTTGATAGAAAGTTATAGATTTCAATAAAAATTAATTGAATTATGTGAATTAATTCTATGATAAAATTGATTTTTTTGCAGAAATTTATCTTTGTAAATTGAGATGGATAAGTATGTCACAAGATCGAAAATTCGACATCCAAGTTCTAGCTCTACTCATGCATCTACCGCTTCAACCATAGCGCCAAAAATTCAAAAGAAAACATTTATTTCAGATGTTGATTTAGAATCTCTTGAAGCTGATTCGGGAATTAGAAAGCCAATTGCAGAATATAATCCTAATATACGTGATGATATTAGGAGATATTATATTCTTAAAAAGCCTTGCCAACCTAAGGATCATAAATTTCCTAAAACTAAGTTTGGGAAGGAAATGCGGCAATTTTTTCTTAATTGGCTTAATGGTCGTAAGTGGTTGGAGTATAGCATAACAAAAGATGTTGCATTTTGTTTGTGTTGCTATTTGTTTAAAAATGAATGTGAAAGTCGTGGATATGTGGTTGATGTTGCTTTCACAAAGACTGTCTATAGAGCTTGGAACAAAGCTACTGAAAGATTTAGAGCTCATGTTGGAGATATAAATAGCATCCACAACAAGTGTTTCAACAAGATGCTTGATTTGATGAATCAATCACAGTCAATACGCACTTCCTTTGATAAAAAGTTCAAGAAAGAAAAAAGTGAGTCTCGGCGTCGCTTGAGTGCTTCAGTTGATGTGACAAGATTTCTCTTGAAATTAGGATTATCATTCCGTGGACATGATGAGAGTCGATCTTCTTCAAATAGAGGTATTTTTCTTGAACTTTTGCAATGGTATGGAGATATTAATGAAGATGTTGGAAGCATTATTTTAGAAAAAGCTCCAAAAAATGAAATGATGTGTTCTCCAAGTATTCAAAAGGATATTGTTGATTCTTGTGCTAAGGAAACAATCAAATCTATTCTTGAAGATTTAGATGGGGATTATTTTGGGATACTAGTCGATAAATCAGAGGATGTATCACACAAGGAGCATATGACACTTGTTTTGAGATATGTTAACAAAGAAGGAGAAGTGATAGAACGATTTGTTGGTATTATTCATGTTAGTGATACATCTGCTTGTTCATTAAAGGAAGCAATATACTCTTTTCTTTCAGATCACTCCTTAAGTCCATCCCAAATATGTGGGCAAGGTTATGATGGAGCTAGCAATATGCAAGGACATCTAAATGGTCTTAAAACTTTGATTTTAAATGAGACTCTATCGGCATATTGCATTCATTGTTTTGCCCACCAATTGCAGTTAACACTAGTGGCTCTTGCAAAGAAGGATTCAAATGTAGATGACTTTTTTTGCTTAGTTACTAATGTGTTAAATATTGTTGGAGCATCTTTTAAGCATAGAGATTTACTTCAAAAACACCAAGCTGAACAGTTAGAGGAGTTGCTCATATCATGGGAAGTGCATACTGGGCGAGGATTAAATCAAGAACATGGGCTTTAGAGGCCAGGTGATACTCTTTGGGGTTCTCATTGTAGAACATTAGATAATCTTATTGTTCTATTTCCATCAGTTATTCATGTGCTTGAATTTACTGGATGCGAGTGTCCAAACTATACTGATAGACTTCTTGCTAAAACTCTTGTGGATACGATTTAGAAATTTGATTTTGCCTTTATGTTGCACTTGATGTGGAAAGTTCTTATGATGACAAATGAATTGAACTTCTCATTACAAATGATGGATCAAGATATTGTCAATGCTATGGGATTTCTTGCTCTTACAAAGCAAAGATTACAAAATATGAGGGATAATGAATTAGAATCATTAATGGATGATGTCTCTTCTTTTTGTGATAAACATGATATAGTCATTCCGGAGATGGATGCTAGCTACTTCCTGGGAAGTCAAAGCGTAAATCTCTTGATGTTACATATTCTCATCATTTGCGTGTTGAAATATTTTATGTTGTTATTGATTTGCATCTTCAAGAGCTTAATAATCGTTTTGATGTTGTGAGTACTGACTTACTTCTCGGTATGGCTAGTTTGAATCCAGTTAATTCATTTGGTGGTTTTGATAAGGGCAAGATAATGAGGTTGGCTGAATATTATATGAATGAGGTTGACAGCAACAAGCTTTGGGATCTCAGTTTTCAGCTTGATAGCTTTATAGTTTATGTCTGTGGTTCTGACAAGAGGTTCTTCAACTTGAAGGGAATTAGTGATCTTGCTAAAGTATTAGTCAAGTCAGATTTGCATCAAATTTGGTCACTTGTTTATTTGCTTATCAAGTTGACTCTCATTCTTCCCGTTGCTACTGCTTCTGTGGAACGAGTTTTCTCATCCATGAAGTACATTAAAAATGAACTTCGCAATAGTATTGGTGATGAATTTTTGAATGGTTGTTTAGTTTGCTATGTAGAGCGTAAGATATTCGCAAATGTAAGCAATAATGCTATTATTTATCGTTTTCAACATATGAAAAGTCGTCGAGCACAATTATAACTTTAAGACTAGAAGTCTCTTTTTGTAATGATAATATTACTAGTAGGTCATTGTGACTTATAACTAGTGGTTGTTTTTTATGATGATAATATTAATCGTTGTTTTATTCTTTATACTTTTTTTTATTAAAGAGTTTGAGTTAGTATATGTTTACTTTTTTTATTAAAGAGTTTGAGTTAGTATACGCTTACACTATGTGATTGCTAACATGTTTATGTTAAAGGAAGTGAGCACCCACAACCTTTAAATCCAGGATCCGCCACTGGTTATACACTATATAGTGTATTGAGAAGTGTATTACTAATACCATGAATTTCTAGGTATTAGTAATGCAAAGGATTTAATACATGCATTAATATGGTTAAACACTCAATTACCCCTCAAAAGTACATTTACATCTTTTCCACCATAATTATGAAGGATATTTTTGTAAATAAATATTTTTGTACAATGCATACTATTTTTAATACACCAAACCAAACAATGCATAAGAAATAATCTATGCATAACTAATACAAGTATAACTAATACATGCATTACTAATACACTCTATTGGTATTATTTTTATACACTCTACCAAACGACCCCTTAGTGTTTAAGAGATTTTTTATTGTTCATTATTTTTCCGGTGACTAATTCACCGGAGTTCCGCCGGAAACCGGCGAGTCCACCACCAAACAGACCCAAAAAAACCCCACTGTCTCTGGTCTTTTTTTTCGGCGAAACGCCACCCTCCAGACCACCCAACACCACCAAAACCCCACCTTTTCCAGCAATCAAACAACTCTCAAGTGTCCTTCTCCTCTCCAGATCTCCACCACAAACCCCACCTAGAACAACCTTCAAACACTTCCAGCAACACTAAAAAATCACCTGTTTCCCTCTCTCCAAACGTGCACAACACCCAGCCAACCAGAAACACCATTTCCGATGGAGCTCGAAGCTCAAGCGGAGCAAATAATAAGGAACCCGTGCTCAGTCCCCTTCCCTTTTCCCTTTTTGCGATATTTTATTTATTTTGCAGGTGTCCAAATCTGTACATTCCGGTGAACAACCATCAGAAATAACCAACCTTCAACACCAAAATCCCAGCCCATTTCCCTCTCCTTCACCAGACCCAAACCAGCACATACTACATCAAACAAAACCCCCTTCCCCTTTCCCTTTCACAATTTATTTTTGATTGTTTTTGCAGCTTTTACGCGAACCAGCGAGCTCGAAGCTCCGACTCCGGCTCTGGCGTGGCTCCATCACCGGTATACCATAACCAGTTAACTAGATCTTGCACCAACGAAGCTCTTACACCATTGGAAAAATCAATATATATAGTGCTCACAAATCATTGTTCCAATCACAAACTCCATCTCCGATAATGTGGTACTTGTTTTAATTTTCTTTCATTTTTCTACTAGAGCTATATATATTTTGTTTATTTTATTGAGTTGATTTTATGTGTTTTTGATTTCTTGATGATGAGTTATACATTTACAGTGAGCATCAATTGAGTAAATTGAGCAGGAGGTGACAAAAAAGTGTTGAAATTAAAATTGGTGACAAAAAAGGACTGACCAAGTCAAACTCTTTTTTAATTAGTGATTAAGATAATTAGGGTCTAAAATGTAATATTTAAAACTTTTAAACTTTTAAAAGTATTCAAAATAACCCCAACTTCTCATTGTGTTTCTTTTTCTTTCAATTGATGTGAACAAGTTAGGGTTCGTCTTCTTCATCTTCGACTGTCATCTTCGTTTTTGTTTGTCGTCTTCTTCGTCATCGTCGTCATCTACCCTCAAGGTAACACTTTTTTCTTTTCTTTCATTGTTAGGGTTTTGAGAGTGTAAATATTGAAAATCCATTGGGTTGTTTATGTTTATAATTTTTTGTGTTAGTTTTGTCCAAATTATCACCTGCATTTCTGGAGTTCATTGAGAATTCTCTATCTGAAAATGTTTGTGATGCTGAATTTATGAAAATTCAGCTGATTTTTATTTTTATGCATATGATGAGAAGTAAACCCTTCATTTACTTAGTTTAGAGAAATTAGAGAGCTAAATGTCACGTCCCGCCACATCACAATTAAATTTAGCGTCCGGATAGGGGCGGAAGGGTCTAGAGTTGTGGAGAGGTTTCCGGAAGACTCTAGAACCTTTTAGATTATTCAAGGAGGCTAGAGAATTCCCTAGAATTCTCTAGAATAAACTTATAAGACAATGGAAGGTCCTAAATAGTCTCCAAGAAAGAATTCTCTAGAATGTGTAGAGAATTCTAAAAGAGGGACTAGATATTTTCTTGGAAAGCTTTAGAATTTCCTAGAATTAGTAGAAGATTCTAAGGAGGGACCAAAGTGTAAATAATTTAGGGACTTGTAAAGTAAATATTAATTACATTTTAGTCCCTATGAGGTAGTATAAATAGTGGTGCCCCTCATTTGCAAGGCACCAACCAAGAACCAACCAAGAAAGTGTAAAGCATTCTCCAAAGCAATATAAAAAGCCTTCTTCCAAAATTCTTTAAGTCTTTCCTTAAGCATTCTCTTAGCGATCTAGTCTTAAAGGGCTTACTTGAGCTTACAAGATCGTGAAAGATTCGTGAGTAAGTTGTCAAGTGCCGCACGGAACTTTAGTAAGACTCTAACTCCGTGACAACGTGGTATCAGAGCCAGGTTCGATACTAAGGGAATGACAACCGAAGGGGATGTAAACGCCGCTAGCACCACCAACATTCGTCCGGATGGTGGAAAGAAGTCCCGAAAGGGAAAGAAGCACCAAAAGAGTCATGAGGAAATGCTACTGGATCCCACACCAAGCGAGGCGCTAACATCTCATCCACCTTCGACCACCGAAGCAAGTGACGATGAACGTGGCGAGGAGCCTATTGACGTCACCGTTGGAGAAGAATGGGTCGCAAGGGTTGAAGTGGTGAGGCAGGCCGTGGAGATATTAGGCCGGCGTTTGAACGTGGCCGATGGCAAATTCAAGACTCTTGAAGACTTCACCCTTGAGGAGACCGAAAACATCCGCAAGGAGTAGGAGGGATGTCAGCGGGCGGAGTTCGAGATGAAGGAGGCTATCACTTCCTTGGAGTGTCGGCTCATGGAGGCGTTGAGCACGATTGAGACCATGAAGGCCGAGATGAAAGCACTCAAGGAAGGTGTGGCAGTTGGAGGATCATCGTCGCTTAACCGAGATAGGGAGGCCAGGGTCGAGGCTCCCAAGCCACCTATGTTCAAAGGCGTCTGTGACGCGCAAGAGGTGGAGAATTTTCTTTGGCATTTGGAGAATTACTTCAAGTGCAACGGGCTGAAGAGCGACGAGAGTAAGATCAACACCGCTTTGTTGTATCTTTCGGAGATGGCTATGCTATGGTGGAGGCGCAAGGAGGCCAAGATAGGGAAGGGGACATGCACCATCAACACCTGGGAGCAATTTCGGGAGGAGTTCAAGAAAGCCTTCTTCCCTAACAACGTCATCTATGAGGCGAAACGCAAGTTTAGGGAGCTGAAGCAAACGGGTAGCATCCGCGCATATGTGCAGGAGTTCACTACCCTCACCCTTCAAATTCCTAACCTCACGGATGATGATATGTTGTTCCACTTCATGGATGGGCTGCAAAATTGGGCCAGGACGGAGTTGGAACGTCGGCAAGTCAGGACTATAGATGAAGCCATCACGCAGGCCGAAGCTTTGACGGACTTCAGGCAGGAGAAGTCGGACAGAGCCAGAGGAGAAGAGATGAGAGGTAGTCATGACCATGGTGGGGGAGATCGTGGAAAAGGCGAGGAGCAGCGGCCACATCCCAAGAAGCATGACACCTATAAGTCTGATGGCAAGAAGTCTGGACATCATGGCAACACGGAGAGGAAGACAGAAGTTGCCAACAAAGGTGGCTGCTACATATGCAGCGGGCCGCATGGTTATATAAGGTGCCCTGAACTGAAGAGCCTTGGTGCCATCTTGCGAGAGCAGAAGGAGAAAGACGCCCAGGAGCAAGGACAAG